CCAGCTGCTGCTGCCTCTCCCAGGCGCCTCGACGGAGCCCCTCCTCGATGCCTGCCCGTCCGCTGGCCACGCCTGGCCCTTCTCTCCCACACCTGCTCTGCAAAGGTCCTCATTAGCTCTCAGCGTGGAACTCAAGGGCTCATCCCCAAACTTCTCAGAGGAGGACGGGATGCCGGCCAAGCTGGCCTCCTGCGGGCAGTGTCCTCCTCTGCCCTCCCCCTCGTGGCTGGACCCACCGGCCACCTCTTCTGTGCACTGCCCTTCTGTGCTGTCTACACACATACACGTGCGCGGACACCTGTGTGGACACGCGGGCGTGTCTGCACGCGTACTCACGAGCACGTGCACATACATGCGCACACACATACACACGTGCACGCACGCACTGCACACATGCACACGTCTTCGCAGCACCGGCGCCCCAGCTGTGGCCCGTGTGGTTGAGCAGAGGGGCGCCCACCCCCCGCACACGTGGGTCTCGCCAGGGACACCTGCGCCCGCAGCCATGGGGAGGCGCCGCGTCACCGCCGGGCTGGGGCCGGGCTGGGCTCGGGGCCGCGGCGCGTGCGGGGCAGGCGGGCGGGAGCCGCCTCGACCCAGTGTCTACACTGCGGGCACGGCCAGGACCCGAAGCATCGTGTTTAAATCTTAAAGCCCTTAAGAAAGGGCAGATGGGAGAAGCGGAGCCCGGCTGCGCGCAGACTCGGGCCCACGCGGGGCTCGAACCCGAGGCAGAGGAGGCGAGGCGCGAGATCGGAGCAGACGCGAAGGCCAAGCAGAGCATGCGTAGAACACGCGGGGAGCGTGCTCGGCGCATGCGCAGGCCGCGCCCCGCGCGCCCCAGGGCCCCAGCGCCCACAGTTCCAAGCGCAGGGCCGCGTCCGGAAGTCCGTGGAGCGGGTTTTCCTGCCTCGTCCTCTGATTCGCTGCAAACCACTCCCATTTCCGCAGAAAGCTCCCAGCCACCTCCCGACCGCCCGCGAGGCGTGTGGCCGTAGGGCGTGCGCGCCGGCCCTGTTTTGTTTCCGGGGGAATCCGGTTTTCTAAGGACGCTCGGGACTTCCGGGTGTTCCTCTCGGCCTCTGATTGGCTGGTTTTATGAATATATTAAGGCATGAAAAATAGGTTTTTCCACGCGCTGAAGGTGATATCGGCGATTTTGTGCGCAGGTCGCGGCTCCCGACGAGGCGGCCGCTGTCCCGCGTGCGTCTGAGGGGCGAGCCTGGAGTCGCCCTAAGCGAAAGGCGGCTCAGCCTCGGGCCCTTAAATAGCGCGCGCGCGTGGGGTGTAGGGTGTGTTGTATGAAAGGAGAGAAGGTTAGCACTCCCCTTGACAAGGATGGAAGAGGCCCTTGGGCCTGACAACACGCATACGGTTAAGGCATTGCCACCTACTTCGTGGCATCTAACCATCGTTTTTCTGTCTAGTGGGTGACACGTGGGTGTGTGACCATACACAGGGCCGTGATGCCCGACCGCGACACACGTGGGTGCGTAGACAGGTCTGGGTGTGACGCAGGTGTGTGTACACAGCCGTGTGACGCGTGCGCGCATAGGTCCACGGGTGTGTGATGCACGCGTGTGGGGTGCACGGACACGTATGCGACTGTGCCTCCACTGCTCTTGGAGCTGCCTGGCATTTTTCATCATACAAAGTTCACCTCCGCTTTCCTGTGTGGGCATCAGCGCACCGAGGGCAGCAGTGAGTCGCGTCCTCCTGGGCGGTGGGCGAGGGGGAGAAGAGTTCTCGAAGGGACACCCAGGACAGCCCTCCGCGTACGTTTCCTGTATGTCCAAGCATGGGGCAGGCGGGCCCTGCGACCCGGGGACAGTCAGACCAGATCCTGCAGGCGGCTTCTGGACATTCCCGCGGGTCTGAACCTTTGGTGGCTTCAGGGGTTTCACTTGCTTCTCTTCAGCATCACAGGCCTTCGGGACCTCCTTGAAAACCTGACAGACTTTCCCTTCGGCTCAATTTGATCCCTGCCCCAGAGGCTCACGCTGGAGACCATTCCGGAGCCCCAGCAGACAAGTCCAATGGAGACGGCTCTGTGGGGTGGCAGAGCAGGCACCGGGCAGTGGGGGTAGGGTCACATCGAGGGGTCAGGGGAGGCGCAGAGGAAGATGCCATCTGACCCAGGCCTGGAGGTGAGGGATCGGCCACGTGGACATCTCGGAGAACATTCCAGACACAGGAAAAGGCAAGTGCAGAGGGTCTGAGGCTGATGCAGCCAGTGTGGCCTGAGAGTGGGGAGGGAGAGGTGGGGTGGGAGGACAAGAGCCAGGCGTCCCAGGGCCATGGGGACGTTTGCAAGGACTTGAGCTTTGGCTGTTAGTGAGGGGAGACCGAGGATTTCCCACCAGGGAGGGACAGGGCCCGCCACGCCCAGAGCAGTCCAGCTCTCAGTGGCAGCTCAGAGGGAACAAGGAAACAGCCCCAGAGACACATCAGGAAACCCAGACCAGGGAGCTACAGCTACAACTCAGAACACACACACACACACACACACACACACACA